GCTGCACAAGTCTGGAGTAGTCACTGAAGATAACTACCAGAAAGGAAGCAAATAACTTGGTAATTTAAAAACTCAAAAACAGCAGAAATGTTGGCAGGCTACAGTTTTTGGGTAGTTATGGTATATTTATCCCTGTCTGTGCATGCATGTGGAGGCTTGAAATACGACTTCTGGTAGTACTCTTCAGAAACTATCTCCTTACTTTCTTTTGAGACAGTCTTGGGGACATGGGACTCAATAATTAGGCTAGGCTGGCTGGTTGGCCAGGGATCAGTCTGTCTCCACCTTCTTGGAAAAAGAAATGTACACTACCATATCTGGCTCATTACATGGGTGTTTTGAGAATCAAAGTCAGATCCTCAAGCTTCTCTGGCAAGCACTTGGCTGATGGAGCTTTCCCAAGTCTTAACTTTTACATTTTACCTCTTTAGTTTTCCTTGACACTACAAAAGCTGATCTCCTCTTTGTTGTTAACCAAGTAGCAATTTTTGAATTATTGGGAGGAGAAACAAAGGTTTGGGACTTCTTTTCTGATTTAATCTGGTTATGCTAAAGGCAGAAATCTAAGTAGTTTCCACAGCAAGAAGGATTCATTTTAAGATGTGTGTATTTATTCTCAAAACTAATTGTCTCTTTCCTTAATTAAGAGCAGATGAAAATATTCTATTTTACTGTTGAAATTTAAGAATTGTGAATTTCAAATGTTTCATTTCCTTGGAGTCTATAATTAAGGTATAACCATTTAATTATCTTTGGATAAAAAATGTAAGCAAATAAATTATATTTTAATGTGAATACTAGACTTTCAAAACTTAATTCAGATGTAAATCTATATAAAAACAAAATGATGTATTTGGAAGGGTGGTAGAGCTTGAACTGAATCTAGGCTTTTCTAACTGTGGGTCAGATTTAGACCATTGCACATGATACGTCTTTGAAGCATTTTCTTTTCCTCTTACAATAAAAGTTTAAGAATGTAAGAGAACTAATATAGTGAAAGACAATCTCCTGTTTCCTCCAACCCCCAGCTTATAGAATATTGGATTTTGATGGAAGCAACTTGATTTACAATACATATATGTCTTTTAGCTAAACTATCAAAGAGTTTTCCTCAAAGGACTTGTCAGGAACATGTGGAAAAATGTAGTTTTAGGAAAAGATGCACTTGAGCTTAGGTAACTACTGTTTGCTAAAGCTCCTTTGAGTTAAAGCTTAGGTTCACTGTATTTACTATTCTCTGCTTTCACCTTGTGCCCGAAAAGTTTCATAATAAAACAATGCCTTGGTGACTTCAGAAGTTAGTAAGAGTTCAGAGTTTTAATGTTTCTATTTTTGTTGTCTTGCTTGGTTTGAAGAGAGAAAGAACAAAGTTGGTGCGTAGGGTACTGTGAAGGATCTGGGAGGAATTGGGGTGGGGAACCATGATCAAAATATATTGTATGGAAAGTCATTATCAATTAAAAAGTCTTAAATATTGAAAATAACTATGATTTTATATTAGTTATAAGGTCCAGACAGCTCTTGCTAAGACTTCTAGGAGGTTGGGGAAGCCTATCAATAGTTAATTGAGTTCTTAAAATTTTATACTTCTCAAGGATATTCACTAGCTCTGTATAAGACTACTTTTGTGAAATACATGGTCAAAATTTGTAGTTGAAATTAATTGAGGTGAGTGGACCATTTTCAGTTTTACTATTTCAACCCTTTATAGTAATTAATGGCCTTTTACGTGAGAACTATTAAAATAATATTGATTTTCAGTCATACTTTTCAAATTATTTTGTACTTCCATAGTCTGTTAGTGTTTTCTGCTGGTTAAATTATAATGCAAAACCCAATGCTGTCCATCAATATTTATTAATAGGTATAAATGGTTACATTGGAAAAGGAGGAACAAAACATCTTATTTCTATGTAGCCTTACATTTTGTGGGAGGGGAAGTAAATGCTATATTTTTCTTTATACTGGAGCTAAAAACACACAAAATTATTATACAAGATTCTTTTTCACACATTTCAGGTTGACACTAATTTTGCACTTGTTACAGAAAATATTTAAATAAAGTAATTACTCAGAGGTTTTAGCTTTTAAAATAATCTGCAAAGTCAAAGTGCCATTTGTACAAACACTGAAATTTTTCTTTCATAAATTAAACTCAGGAGATATAATTATAACCTTACTTTTGACACAAACATTTTCTATATGATGGTGTGTGAGGGGTCACTGACTACGCTGAGAAAATTTATCAAGCGTAGCCTCTATTTTCTAGTTTTTCTCTTTCCTATATCAACTGTTAAGTCTGTAGCTCCAAATTGCATTCACTATTTTGACTAGGAAGAAATTCTCTATCCCCATTTTGTAAATTACCGAAGAAACAGAATCTGTAAGCAGTTAAAATATTTCTCTCTTCTTGATTATTACCTCTAGTATACACATGAAAAGCAATAAAAACAAATCCATTTATTTTTCTTGGAAAGGTTGTACTTAGTCTTATCTGAACCGAAATAATCTGGACAAGGTCTGTTACTGTTGTACCACTGAAATAAGAGACCATGGTCATACTTTGTTTAAAGGGGGGGGGGGGTTCAAATAGTTAAGTCTAAACTTAGTACTTTAGGAAATTCTATTCCCTTTTTAACATTAAGTAAACTAACGAGATTGATGGCCTGGGTTTAGAACTCTCCTTGTGTGCCCACACTAGCATTGATTTTAGTGCCATTGCTTGTAGAACTGATGAAAAACATTTAAATTCTGAGTGCTTCTCCTTCCTAAATATGTCATTGTCACTTGTTCGACTCCAGGTAACTAAGTGCCTTGGTTGTGGAAGTGTAGTGCTATGGGATTGATGAAGCTGTATTTTAAATAAAATGATTAGATCTTGTATGGAAGCTCCTACTTTGGACATTGTATTTTTCAGATGACCTGAGAATTCAGCTAGCTGCTTTCATATTTCTATTTGAGCCTCATCTTACTACATCTGCTGCTATGAATGTTGAGTCCAAAATTTTACCTTTCATTTTCTTCCTGTAGAATCTTCAGCAGTTTTTTTGTTGTTTGTTTGCCTTTCCTGTTACACCTTCTTGCTAACAACCCACATAGATTGTTAATAGTCCATATATTTGTGAGAAAGATGTTTTTACTATATGCTTATATATTGGTTTTGTTGGTGGTTTTGTGAGTTACGGTTGTAGTAGGTTAGTTTATCATTAAGAATAAATTTTACAGTTGGAAATGTTGAAATTAGTTTAGAACTCTTTCTTTTAGAAAGTAATCTGTCTCAGTATTGGAGCGATTTGTGATAGTCCCTCAGTAAAGTAGCGCAGCAGTTGGATTTGAATATATGAGCACTTCAGATAAGATTAAGATTATTTTGGAACAGACCCTTGCCAAATGTGTGTTGGTTCATTTTGCTCTCATAATTCCTTTTTCTGTGTATCTGAGTTGTATTCAGCACCACTTCCTGCCTCCCTTGTCCGTGATTTGGCTCATTTCCACAAGAAACAGTTTTACCATCATTCACCAATACTAGGGATAGAGGTGGAAAATCGGTTTAACATAAACTACACTGTCAAAAGCAAGTCTGCAGACACATTTACATTAACAGCTCCTCATTTCACATCCAGCAGACATTACACAAGAATGTAGATGGATTCTTGTTGGTGTTGACATTTAAAAAGAACAGGTGGTGCCCAATGAACTGGTTTACTTTTCTGCCATATAAATTGTTAATCTCCACAAGCAACACATATGATGGTAAAACTATGCTTGCTCAGTAGGCCATTGTTTAGTGGATATCAATCCTAAGATGGCTACCATATTCATCCTAAATTCATTTGAACTTGTGTTGTAATTAAGTACTCCTGGACTATGGGAAAGAGTTTGAATGTGTAAATGTAGGTTTCTTTGAAGGCAGAATTGAGTTCTACGAATCCACTAGGATTATTACATTATATCTCTAACAGTTCACACATGCAGATTCCACTGTCCCCCAGTGGATATTGCAGCTGCAACCTGAATTAGGTTATCTGAACCTAAAATTGTGTCTGCTAGGTTTTCTTTCCAGAAAGCAATTAATTAGAGGTGCTCTTTCCCCCTATATTTAAACACCTCGGTAAAATGTCATTTTTCTGATAAAAATATTTCAAATCCAGTCGTTAATCTTAGAAATGCCTTTATATCAATGATGATTAAAACTATCCACAGTAGATGGGACGCTATAAATATACCAGCTAATTATCTTTTTTCTTGCCAATGTTTAAGCTGTAGTAACTATTGGTTAGAATGCAGTAGAAGATTTCTTTTTTTGGAAAAAAGTACACATTTTGATACTCTCAAAATTTAAAATATATAAGTTAACCAAAATATACAAACACGGGAAAGCAAAGCAGCTAAATTATTAGCTGTGACACACCCTGTAGAGTAAATATCTCATTGGCACACGTTAAGAAATTAACACATCGTTAAGAAACAAAACCGCAACAGTCCCCACAATTAGAAGTTATGGTGTCTTGAAACAAAACAGAAAGGCCAGGTCTACCTAGAAACCACAAGCTGATAATTCTTTGGAGTCCAGTCTCCCTTTCATGCTGTTCATTGTGTTTATTGAACCAGCATGGGCAGCATGTAGCACTGAAGAGCAACAAAGACAGGCAGGTTGATTTGCCTTATCTGATAGCTGGTAGGGACTGTGGACCATATCCCTCAGCTCTGTCGGGAGATGGGTGTGAGATCCTGAGGAAAGACAGGAATCTGTGCGGCAGCTATTGTAGCAAAGTGGCACCAGGAGCTTCAACGAGACAAGGGTAAGAACAGCAAAGCAAAGGGATTAAGCACGCAACTGCATCTCTGCTGACTGGGGCAATTCCGCTTCCGTTGGTTTCGAGATGGATCTAGTATTTATAGATATAAAAAGGCAAATTATAATAACAGTAAAACAGAACACGAAGAATGTGGCTATAAAAGATGGAAAATAATAAGAGTTCCACTCCTTGGCGGGGGACCATATTTGCGGTCACCTCTGAGAATGAGGAATTACAAATGTTCTCTTGAATTCCAGAACAGATGATGGGGGCGGGGCTTGACTTAGAGCCGAGTTGTAACTTGTTCTTCCTGTTTATCACCCCATTTGTGCATGATCAAGTCACAAGCCTCTCCCCAAGTTTCAAACACATCCTCTGATGAGTCTAAAAGTTTAGAATTTGAGGAGCAGATGCTGGATACACAGTGAAAAGAGCTGGAACAGGCTAGGGGGCATTCACTGCTCCGAGCAGCACCCCGGATTTCACCTAACTCTACCTCACTGAGGTTCAAATCGCTTTTAGAACAGGCCTCTGCCTTCCCTTTCTCCATCTGAGAATATCTGATGTCCTCCCACATATAATGCTGCTGGGCAATGGCATCGGAGATTGTGTACATTGGCTCTGACGTAGTAGGCTCAGAGCTCTGACCATTAAACTTGGAGAATAGGAGACCCAGTTTCTTGAAAGAGGGGCCCATGAAGGACCGTTTGCTTGATGACTCTGCTTTTGACTTCTCGTGAGTACCACTGGCTCTTGGCATGGTTCTGATGAGAGGTGCCCCATGGCAGGCCTTTTTCTTGCAGCCTAAATTGAAAGAGACACTCTTAGATTTGGCCCGTGCCCCACCACTGCCATCATTGGTATCATCCCTTTGAGAGAATTCAGCACTGCTAGTGGAAAAGCTTCTTCTTGGTTGTTTTCTGTTTCCCAAGAGGTCAAGTACTTCATATCGAAAGCTTGAGATGTCCTGTTTTAATTCCTAGCAAAAGAAAGAAGACATGTTTTGTTAGAAAAAAAAAAAGGTCTTTAAAGAAGATACTTGGAATTTTGGATAGGCTGTTTTACATAGTAATAAACCACGAAGCACACATTATACTGTAAAAATCTTTCATTAGTTAAGCACAGAAAGACTTCTGTGACCAGTGGAAAAACTACAGTGGGTAAGGTTTATTTCAGAACCTGTGGAACAAAAACATAAACTAATCCCTAACAAAGTAATAACTGGGATGGAAAAATGGCTTAGCAGTTAGGAGTAGTACTGGCTCCTCTCCCAGATGACCTGGGTTCAATTCTCAGCATCCACATGGCATCTCACAACCATCTGTAACTCCAGTTCTAGGGGATCCAACAACACCCTCTCCTGGCCTTTACCTGCATGAGTGCACACATGGTGCACATACATATATGCAGACAAATGCATAGGCACAACACTCTCACACACAAGATGTTAAAAATAAAGTGCTTGCTGACAAGTTATTTGATTAGAAACCTGGCTCTCCTGAGTGTCTGAAGTAAAAGGACAGCTGAAGAAGAGAAGACGTTTAGGATCCAGGAAGGAAACTGAAGAAACGAAGTATCAGGTGATGAGACAGCTGCTTGTATACTATTAACTTGTTCCTTTAGAGGTTTTCAAAGTTTAAATCTGATCAAGTCATTCACATGCTTAAAATGTCTTGGTAACATGTCTTGTCTTAGGAAACACTATAAATACTGTATCATGGACTACAGGGCTTTTCGGTACCTGGTACCTCTCCATCTCCATTTTCCTTTTTCTAACTCCCCTAGCCCCTATACTCATGAACTGACATGCAATAATAACTTAGCAAAGTGATTGGCACATTGGTCTTCAACACCTAAGTTCCATCTGTGGATTAAGATAATAGAATTCCTGAATGCCTTCCAGGGATGTTATATGTCTGTGTGTGCATGTGTCATGGATCCTGGGATAGGGTTTTTATTCTAGGCTCTACTGATATGTCTGGCAGGATAGTTTTTGTTTGTTTGTTTGTTTGAGACAGGGTTTCTCTGTGTAGCTTTGGATGCTGTCCTGGCAGTAACTTTTGTAGACCAGGCTGGCCTCAAACTCACAGAGATCCGCCTTCCTCTGCCTCCCAAGTGCTGGTATTAAAGGTGTGCACCACCACCACCCAAATTGGTAGGATAGTTTTCTATGATGGAAAGCTATCTTGTTAATTGTGGGATTGTTAGTAGCAACCCTCTTTGTACCCACTAGATGCTAGTATGACAATTGAAAACATTTCCAGACAGCCAAATGTGCCCTAACTACATAAATGCCCCTGTGTGAGAATCACTCTTTTAGGTTTATACCAAGAGTGGAAAAATTCTACTATGTAATTGTAGTTTCTTTAGACTTAAAATTTAAAAATACATATTCTGGATTTAATTGCCGATCTTTTAAAGAAGGCATTTAAGGTCTCCAGGCATTTTCTCTTAGCTGCCTTATCCCTTAGCATGCATTCTTGCTATATCAGTTAAGTAAATTATTCTCCACCCTGATATTATCAAATGAAAGAACAGGTTCACTTTGGTCGTAAAACTGATTGTAACAGACATTGATAAAAACCTCTCGACCCCAAAATGTGTGGGGCCCCAATCTGAGACAAAAAATTATAGGCAATAGTGACTATGAAAAGAAGAATTCCCTAAATGGTTGTTCAGTGTAAAGTGATCAACACTGAAGCCATATAAATGTAAATAACAAAAACACAAAATGATGTGGGATGTCCTTCTGTGTATATGTGTTGCTTTTATTGTTTAATGAATAATGCTGTTTTGGCCAGTGGTTTAACAGAGTAAAGCCAGGCAGGAAAACCAAACAAAGATATATAGAGAGTAGGTGGAGTCAAGGAGATGCCATGTAGTTGCTGGGGGAGAAAGATGCCAGAACCTTTCCAGTAAGCCACAGCCTCGTGGTGATACACAGATTAATAGAGATGTGTTAGTTTAAGATGTAAGAACTAGCTAGGAATATACCTAAGCCTTTGGCCAAAGAGTGTTGTAATCAATATAGTTTTGTGTGATTATTCATGTCTGGGCATCCAGAAAAACAGCAAGTCTCTGTTTATACTCAAAAAATTGTATGTATGTATATATATATGTATATATGTATATATACATATACATATATGAAACAAAAAAGAAGCTATGAACTATAGAGTTGGGAATATGGGAGAGATATGAATGTGTGTAGCTGGGAGGAGCAGGAGGAAGGATGAAAAGTAATATTCTATTTCAATTATAAGCATAATTTTTTTAGAAAAGGAAAAATTCTCTCCACTTACTGGATGGCAGATAATTCCAAGACAGAATAAGAATTGCAGGCACTTAGAGACATGGCTTAGTGGTTAAGAGAACTGTGCTCTTCCAGAGGACCTGCGTTCAGTTCCCACTCCCCACATGGTGGCTCTTGACAACCTGTGTACCACCACTCCCAGGGGCAATCTGACACCTAGACAACAAATGTGCAGACAATGCACACTCACAGAAACTCAATTTTTTAAAAAAAATATAAAGAATGATTTTTAGAATAATAAGACTTGTAATTGACACCCTCATGCACTATATGAAGAAAAGAGAGAGAGAGAGAGAGAGAGAGAGAGAGAGAGAGAGAGAGAGAGAGAGAGAGAGAGAGAGAGAGAGAGATTTACCCACTTCATGATTAAATTACCTTAAAGTTTTCTTCTGTTAATCCCTCATTTGTTTTGGAGTTTCTTATCATTGCAGCCACATATCTCTTGACTAAATTTCTGATAACTTCCTGGAATTGAGAAAGCATGACGAGGTATTCAGTTTCCTGTTCAGACTATCAGGTAAATAAAGAATCCTCGCAGAAGACTCACTTAGATCATCTTTGCCATAGGAAATCCTCACTGTACCTAGCAGTTTTCTGCCAAAAAACTTAAGTTCATTGAGTTACTAAGTCATTGCATCTCTGAATTTTGGTGGCAGAGTGTGCTAGTTACCATTAAATTTACCCCAAAGGAAGAATTTCTACTCAAGTATAAAGTAAGCATGTAGTGTGTGTGTGTGTGTGTGTGTGTGTGTGTGATGAAAGTATTATAGCCCTTAAATGCTCATATTCAATTCAATATCCATTCCTCTGGGATGGATTAAACTTTAGTACTTTTAGTGAAATAGGGCTTTTTTCTCTTCATGAAGTTGGGAGTCACTAAGTGAGTTAGTAAATTTTTGTTTTGTGTTTTGAGACAGTTTTTTTTTTTCTGTGTAGCCTGGGCTATGCTGAAACTCATTCCGCAGACCAGCCTGGCCTGCAATTCACAGAGATCTGCCTACCTCTGCCCCCCAAGTGCCAGAATTAAAGGCATGTGCCATCACCACCTATCATGAACTAGTAATTTTATGATCAAGATAATGTTTTATAGACTCAACCTACACTTCACTTTTACAGGGAATGCCTCTATTAGTCTCAGGTTTAATGTTTAATGGAACACACATGGCTGCCAGGTTGGTATTGACGATTGCTGCTGCTTACTGCAATGTGCCAGGCGCCATCCCCACTGAATTTTCCCAGGCCCATAATTTAGCTTTTACTGTTATTCCTTGTTTACACCCTCACTGAATTTTCACCACTCTGTAATTTAGCTTTTATTTTTCTTCCTGGTTTACAAATGAAGAAGCTGAGGCTTAGTGTTGTTAACTGGCGTCTTCAGGATCACAGTGCTAGACAATGGAAAAATTAGATTTTAGTTCTACTTCAAGCTGATTCCAGAGTCTATAGTAATAGTTAATAATGCTGTGGCTACCGTTTCTGCTACTCGGTGAACTTCAATAAGTCAGTGAGATGCCCAGGAAATGTCCTGTTAATGATGTTTGAAGCAGAAAGTAAAAGCAATGAATCTTGCCTAGGTGTTAGCATTTTCTATCATGATTAGAGATGGAGTTAGACATAGTGAGGAAAGGGTCACCTTTGAAACACTGTACTTTGTGTTGCTCATTGCTATTTGTGCCTAAGATGAATAAAATTTGGGAAACCATTTGTGGAATAAGGTTGAGTTTCCTTTCCTTTAAACCTTGTAGGATATTTTTCTGTTTGGGTTTCTTAAGATAAAGTTTCATGTAACTCAAGATGACCTTTAAACTTGTTACATAGTTGAGGATAACTTTGAACTTCTGATCTTTTTGCCCCCATCACACTCAGTTTAGATGGCATTGGGGATCATATTCAGGGCCTGATGTGTGGTAGGCAATGAGTCTGCCACCTGAGATATGTCCCCTACTCTGCATTTATTTTGATCTAGAACGTTAAATATAGCCTTTTATCTGAGATTTTCAAAGATTACTTTCCATAAATATCTCACATATCTGTGTGCTTAGTTGCCTTCTGGTTGGTCCCATCAGAAGCACATATCTGCTCCTTTGATTAAAGTCATGTTTATAATTTAGAAAGATCTGTGTCTTTTACTTCACTGAAGTTGCTAATAATTTCCTCATATTCTGTATTTGCTACTTATTGTGTATTCCCATTGTTGTGTGTACTTTTTGTTCGCAGTAAGTTTTTGTCCATCTGGTCAGTTAATTTTATTAGCTTCAATGAAGTAATATCTCTCATCCCTGAAAGATGATAGGCTTCTAAGGTGTCTTGCTATTCCACAATGATTTATCTAATGTGTGTCTTAGTGTCTTGTGTGCAATAGGTACTCATTTACTCATTGACTGAGCAACTACTCATCTGCTGCTTAATCTCAAGGAAGATAGCTTTCTAAGGTATGGCTGACTCACATCCATACGAGGTAGTGTTAAAGGGATATCAACAGAGATATCAAGCAGTTGACTCTGACCTGATGAATTACTTCAGTCTTGAGTGAATTAGTCTTTCCAGGGTTCCTACTCAAGTTAAGTTTAGATATAGCTAGAGTAGAGTTTGCTTTTCTACCCTCACAGAACTGATCAAAAACTGTTGTGTTTATCCCCCATGGGTAAGCAGTACCTGATAATGTTGATTTTGGATCAGGCTATCAGCATGGCGTTCCTGTAATTCAAAATGGACAGAGAGGTTTCCATCAGTTGGCTAGCACTTAGCCATTTACCCACCCCAAGAATTTGGTAAATATTAGGATGGTAGAATGATACAATAGCTCCTCCCTGGCAGATAACAAGAACATTAGTTGGAATTATTTTATAATATTTATGATAGGAACTGTCATAAAGAAGGGTAAGGAACATAACAGTTTCTTGTAAAAAAAAAAAAGACAGATTTTTTTTTTACTTACTGTGAAGCTTCTCAAGTTGTGTCTCCTTCGTCTTCCATCAGCGTCTCTTTTTGGACAGAAGGTTTTATTGAACCAGTTGCCAAGATACATAAATGATTTGGGGCTGGGGATAATGTTGAAAGGAGGTGGCAAGGTACCACCTTCATCAAAATAACTCATCCAGAGCTTTGTTCTTGCAAATTTCCACTCAATGTCAGCATGATCCTATGAAAGACACAAATGCAAGTTGGGAGAGACAGAAAACCGGGAAATATAGATATGTCTAATTTTAGCCTCTGTAATTGCTTCTGTAGAGGACAACCCGGAAGTAGCTATATAAACTCGAATTACATATACCCTATAAGTACAAATCACATTGATCTGGCAATCCACTTTGAGAAATAAATCTTACAGGGGTTGGTAGTACATGCCTCTAAACCCATCTACTCAGGGAATTGAGGCGGGAGGATCATGAGTTTGAGATTGGCCTATGCTGTATAGTAAGATCCTACCTTAAAATACAAGAAAAGTTAATAGGGGTATGACTCCGTGGTAGAGCATTTGTTTAGCATGTAGAAAACCCTGGGTTCAATTACTAGAAGTGAAAAATCAAAAAACAAGATGGTGGAAGAATGAAGGATGGCATAGATGGAGGGGGTTGCAGAAAGATTATACACAGGGTTCTTCAGTATAGTATAGTATAGTATAGTATAGTATAGTATAGTATAGTAATAACAAATCACTGTAAACAACCTAAATATTCAATAGTAGAAGGCTATTTAAATAAATGATATTTCAACAACAAAATGACTTACAATCTAATTTTAAAATATAGGTAATACTTTATGTATAGAATATATATGAATATATGCATCTATTGAAGATCCTGAGTGTAAAAATATATATTGTGAGCAAAAATCTCACTTAATTCAACTGAAAAATTACATATTTACATATTCTAGGCAGATGTGTATATACCAAACTATAAATCATGGTTATTTGCAAGAGGTGGAGATGGGGTTAAGAAAGCTTTTTTAGTTTATAATACTGGGAGGTTTATGAGAGAACTGAATATTTTTATTGTTCACCAACTAAAGCCATTAGCAAATGGAAAAAACAATTTTTTCCATCTTTAACTGAAGGTTCTTCTAAAATTCTTTAGAGCAACAAGGTATCTATGTGTCACTTTTCCCCAAACCAAATTCTTTGCCTTTGCATTTTACAACCAGCCTCAAGTTGACAGTGGCATGCATGTTGTGAAATGTTTACATGTGCTCTTGCACATGTATGTGCACATGCGCATACCCCACACCCTTAAATAAATAAGTGAACACAAAAAGACCAAAATCTCTGTAAATAGATATTTTTCAAGGGGCTGCTGGGCAGATCAAATGGCTATCTGAAGAGGAATTGCAAACCTATTCCACTTGCTTGTATGGATTTCAGGATGTTATTTTACATATACCATGGACTGCTTGCTTTCAAGGCTAGGGGATGATCTGTGCTATTATCAGCAAAAAGGCAGCATGACTTTGAGTTTAAAATAAGCTGAAATGATATGATGGTCAAATGCAATGAATGATCCTCGATTATGTGTAAAGGACATGCTTGAGGTAGAAAGGGAACTCTAAGTTAGTAACTACCAATATTAAACTTCTCAGATGTGTTATGGTCATTGAATATGTGACACAGCATTTTTGAACAAATGTCATGATATTTGCAACTTTGGAATTTTCAAAAAAAATTTAAGGCCTTTCCATTTATGCATTATGTAAAGCTTTATTTATTTCAAGGGCCATGATAGTTTAGAATTGATTGTTCATACCCATTAACTTTTATCTTAAAATAACATTAGATAAAGAGTTCCTACTGTAGGAGTTGGGCTATAGCTCAGTAATAGCATACATATTTAACTTCTAAAGGCTTTGCATTCCAGCATTTCTACCAAAATACAAGACAAAAACTTGGTTCATCTGGTATATGAAATAATGGATTCTTTAAAGTCTTTTTCTGAGATAGGGACGCACTTGTGGCATATTAGTTAAAGATGTGTTACATTTGTTTATGCTGTGGGACGATTGTTTAATGATGCAAAGATGTGCTGCATTCTTTATGTTGCATTTGTTTAGCTCTATGAAGCTGTGTTACTTTGCGTGCCTAAAACAGCTGATTGGTCTAATAAGGAGCTGAATAGTCAATATCTAGGCAGGGAAAAGGGTAGGTTGGACTGCAAGGCAGAGAGAATATATAGCAGAAGATATCTGGGAAGAGAAGATGGAGGATCAAGAAAAGGAGAAGGAGAAGAGGATATCAGGGGTCAGTTACCCAGGTACACAGCAAGTCATGGAGTAAGAAGTAAAGAAAGGCATATGGAGTAGAGAAAGATAAAAGCCCAAAGGCAAGAAGTAGAAAGAATAATCTAAGTCAAGAAAAACTGGCTTGAAAGAAGCCAAGCTAAGGCCAGACACTCATAACAAAGAATAAGTCTCCGAGTGATTATTTGGGAGCTGGGTGGCAGACCTCCCTAAGAGTAAAGAGTAATAAAAAAAAAAAAAAAAACCAACTACACTCACTTGATGGAGGAAGGACATTGGTTAATTATAATAAAGAAACTGCCTTGGCCCATTTTATTGGTTAGAACATAGGTGGATGGAGTAAACAGAAGAGAATGCTGGGAGAAAGAAGCTGAATCAGGGAGTCGCCGTGATTCTCCCACTCCAGACAGATGCAGGTTAAGATCCTCCCTGGTAAGCCACCTCGTGGGCTACACAGAATATTAGAAATGGGTTAGAATAATATGTAAGAGCTAGCCAATAAGAGGCTACAGATAACGGGCCAGGCAGTGTTTAAAAAAATACAGTTTCCATGTAATTATTTCGGGGCATAACCTAGCCATGCGGGCGGCCGGGTGCTGGGGACGCAGCCCTGCCACTCTTATCTCAACAGAGTGGCGCCCAGACGTGATGGGCTAAATCCACTTAAAAACCTGAGAGAGCTTAATTTAAAACAAACAAAAAAATTATGGAACTGGATGTTTGTGTTCCCGCTTGGGATCGGATGGAAAGTGCACTGAGACCATGCCGTGCCGATGGCTCAGCGCTCCCCGCCTGCACCTGGGCAGAAGGCAGAATCAGTCTTAGGCAGGCAGAAGAGCGTGGCAGATTCCTGCGGCCATACAGACTGTTTTCAGACTGCACAGTGCTCTGCCTGTCAGATTTTGCTGTAACTTGGATGAAAAGAGTTTCTGTGTCGCATGCTCAGTCTCAGAGTTAAACTGCTGATTGGGGCTCCAATGTGGACTGCTGTGTGCCTGGAACTGTGAGTGGTTCAGGGGCACCAAATGGCTCTGAGGCAGGAGCGGCTGCTCCAAGCTGAACTGTGCCGACCTCAGGCAGGAGCTACCATAATTGCCATAATAACAGCGCAGTTAAGGTTTAGACTGGGCAGGACACAGGCAGTACCGTATTACCTGTACATGGTGCAACTTAAGTTTTTAAGAAGTGCTTAACATTTTAAAAAATGCTCCTGGATAGTAAAAAAATTACAGATTCACAATAGGACAGATTCAGACATAAAAGACCTCTATGGATCACATTGTTGGATAAATGTACATAGGCTTGGGAAAGAAAAAAAAAGAATATAAAGAATAAAGTTAATGTCTTAAAAAAAAAGGTAAAGTCTTTAAAGAGACAATACAAATAGTTATAGATTAAGAGAAATAAAGTAAAAATAAGCCACGTGAAAATGGAAAATTCACAGAGAGTCTGGATTATGTACATTGTGTTTTCTTTAAAATTTTTGACTGTGAAGGAGCTAAGTACAGAGAGACACTTCATTATATGGGCTGCTAGGCTGAACCTGCACATATGTTCTAAAGGTATCTTGACTTCAGAATTTGGATCTAAGGTTATGATCCTTTGGAAAAGTCCTTCTTTTGTTTTCACAGAGGATGTGACCCTGTGGATTGCATCTATTCTGATTTGGTATGATAGACCACGCCCTCCTGAAAGGTTGCTGTGAATACCCTCAAAAAATTGCTTCACTTAATTGCCAACTGAGATGAAACTAGCACACAGGTTATATCATGAATGACCTAATTAACGACGCCCCTATTCAGCAGGAAGCAGTTTGGAGAGAAAAAACTACACCCATGTTCCCAAATATTGTTTATAAATGTTCTTTTACATTTAAAGGGGGATATGATATGGATATGAATAATTTGCATTGGTATGGATTTTATGGTCAATTTTGTTATATGTATATGTATTTTTGATCTTGATTAAGGTATTGTGATTGTGTAGTTCATTTAAAAATGTAATGTATAATTAGGAAATATAGGTTGTTAATGGATAATCATCGCTAATACTTAAGCTTGTAGTCATGTTA